AAAGCAAAGTAAACAAAATAAATGAAATATTGTAGTTATGTATGTGCCTCTGTTAATACTGAATAAACTACGGGATCACTTCAAAAAAAGTCAACATTGCACAGATGATAGTGTTTTACCACGTCCATGGTTGATGTAATTCAATTACTCAATCTTTCGTGTAGTGTTTGGTCATCAATGGAGCCGTGTGTTAGACTGCAGCGTGGTGGGGAGAGGGCTGTCAACACTCAGCTTATGACCAACACAACACAAACTCTGACCCTGGCTGTCCATCACACGGGGTCATCCCTCCCCCCCAAGAAAATGAAGGGGAGAGCTAATTCCTTCTCCTGTCTGATGGAAGGGGGTCTCTACAGGTGCGTGTGTGTGTGTGTGTGCGCGTGTGTGTAAGAGAGAGGGTAGAGAGAGAGAAACAGAGAGAATAAGTGCATTACAGCGAGGCCCTCTCTGGCACTGATTTTATTTAATACAAACCTATAAATCAACTCTTTTGGAACAAGAGATGTGAGATATTCTTTTTCTCTTTGGCCCTATACGCCTGTCTCTGACAAAGGGATGGATCGTTCTTACCTCTTTCTGTTTCCTGTGTATGACAGGTTATCACTCCTGGGACAGATAAAGAGAGATGGGGGGAGAGAGGGAGAGTGATTGAGGGAGAATGATGCTCCATGGCTGATGTATCGGATGGCAGGTGAGGGGATGGGGTGAGGGAATGGGCTGGGGAGAAAGGAGTGATTTAACGCTGGCTTGTACTCTGCTCTCTTCTTATCCGTGCCCTGCTTCTTTCATGTCTCAGCCCAGGGTCAACCTGCCTGCTGCCCCAGATGGTGCTGTCTGTCTTGGGCTGCCCTCTACAGGATGTGCCCCTCTCACCCCCACTACTACAGATCTGTACTCACTTAATTGATTTCAGGGGAGAAGGCCCTCTCTTCTTCTCTGTTTCACACACACTCTCACACACACACACACACAAACACACACACACCTGCACACACACACACACAGACAGCTTGCCAACAGTGAGTGCCCCCAGTGCACACACACACACGCGGCTGGCGCTGTGCGCTGTCAACGCTAATTCAATTTGAGACGCGGCAGTGTGACTAACAGCAGACCTGCAGAATGTTTTACCATATGCATCACACACACACTCTCTTTCTCTCTCTCTCTCTCTCTCTCACACTCTCTCACATACACACACACCCACACACGCAACCAGATCTGTTACATCCATGGTATAATAATAATGTAATTCCATAAATCTTATTAATAGATCTCCGCTTTTCCTGTTTCCCTCATTATGAGGAAACAGTCATCTTGTCAACAACTGCAGAGCTGCACCATATTTACTCCTAACCTATACTACAGAAGTGAACCATGTAGTTAGGGCAACAAATCTACAATATCTAGGTGAATGTTTCTAGGTTATAGAAAGGCAGTAAACAACCATATTTATAAATATATGATTGTTATTGATTGTTATGTGAACTACATTTTATTTAACTGTGTACCTCTTTAAACTTTGCACTCAGAATAGTACATACCTTTGTCAAGGCCTAACAATCCTACACACATTAGTTCTTATAGTAGACATATTGCGGGCGGAGGCTCAGGGGCTCAGGACGTAGAGAGGGTCTTCCACTAACCAGAGGGTTGGCAGGTTGATCCCAGTCTCATCCATTCCATGTGCATAAGTGTCTTTGGGCAAGATACTGAACCACAAATTTCCCCTGGTGGCTGTGCTGACAGTGTATGATTGATATGTGTTCGAGAAAGTGTTTCACATATATGCACTACATGAATGTATTTGTGAATGGGTGAATGGCAAAACTGTTTTGTGAAGCTCTTTGAGTGATCATCAAGACTAAAAAATCTCTTTATTAATACTTGCCATTTAGATCTAACCCTAACCCAGAAAAAAGGAAGTGGTCTGCAAACCTAAATGACTAATTTGTCATAAAAAATTGTGTGCATCAGCACTTCTCCGCCAAGTTTGGTGGAAATCTGTGAAATAGTTTTTACGTAATCCTTCTAACAGTTAAACCAACAAACAAACATTCAGGTGAAAAAGATTTTATCAATTTTATATTAAATACTTATTAAGTAACACATAGCCAAATAAAATCTACAAAAACATGCAAAATAATCCAAACTAACATTAGCTAAATAAATATCTATGGGTTTAGCATAACAAAATCATGATTCCATGTTCAGCATCTTAGTTGAGCCTGTTTGCATATCAATATTTACAAATCAACACTAAACACAAAGTACAACTGAGGCTGATGGGATTTATTAGTTGGTATTTGGTCAAAAAGCAAAGTATTGGGGAAATTTGGCCGTGGGGAACATTAAAGCCTGAGGAAAACTTGAACATGAATATCTGTAGCAAATTTCACGCTAATCCATAGTTGTCAAAACAACTCTCTTTCGTCAAGCTGCTTCCTTAAAGCTAAAAACACTGAGCACTGCACATACGGAGGGGAAGGAAGAAAAGTGTCAACAGAGTTTTGCAGCACACGGATTAAATGAGTGATTTGATCGCCTGAGGCAACAGTTCCCTGTGTAAGGTGAATAACTATAATGCAATAAAGATAAAGGGCTGTATGCTGTGATGCAGTGTAGACACATAGACTGGCAGACAGCCTCAATAAAGAGTAAAAGACAAGGCTACATGTCCTTGTTCACGGGTTGTTTCACTGTAAGAGATATCAGGGTGGGTGATGGGGTGAGGTGAGGGTCAAGTGGAGGGGGGTTAACAGGGTGAGGAGAGGGGTGGTAGGATCAGGTGTGTATGGGTACAGAGGTTGTGAGGGTGTGAGCAGAGGATTGGTTGAATCTTAACAAGGCACGCTCTGCAGGGCAGGGATGGATAGGGCCAGCTGTATTGGCGTGTGTGTGTGTGTGTGTGTGTGTGTGTGT